AGTCCCCAAGGGGGCTTGCAGCTAGATCTGCTTCGTCTTCTTTGGTTTTTTTTTTTTTTTTTTGTTTTTTATGGCTGCTTGGAGATTGGTGAGGGTGAGGGTGATGGCGATGAGAGTGATGATCCGCAAGGGGATGGTGAAGATCCGAGGTGAAAGAACGGAGGTGATGGTGGCAATGGTGGATCTGCAGAAGGGAGAAAAATAAAGTTTTTTTTTCTTTTTTTTTTTTCGTTTTTTGGGTTTGGCAGCCACACCTCCTCCTTCTCCCTTTAAAAGAGAGGAAACTAGGGTTTTGTTAAATTTGGGTTTTGATGGGCTGCTCAATATTGGGCTAGGCTTATGAGTTTGTTTTAGTAAATTTCATCCTCAGCTTTTTAATTTTTTCAATTGAGTCCTTTTCTTGTTTTTTATCTTTAACTTCTCCCCAAAATTTTTCATAAAATTTTTTTATAATGATAAATCCGAAATGGTACGCAAAAAATTTTGGTATCCGGTACGTACCGTTCCAGTAATAAAACCGGTATGCATACCGGTACGGTATTGATTACTTTGGGTTCAACACCTTCCAATTTAGTCATTAAAAAATCACTATTTTTTAGTATGAAATTAAAAGCAGACAAGTATAATGATATAATTATGTACACAGGATACAAGAACCGACTGAATTGACTGTATTTATATTATATTTTTAATGATTAAACTAGAGGGTGTTGAACCGGAGGGTGTACCAAACATAACTATAACATAAATAAGTTATGCAACTCAGTTTTCTCATTAATCTTTACCGTAGCAGAAACTAAAACATAAATAGTTCTTCTCTTCACCTAATATTTGACTGCAATAACGTATACATCCATGAAATAAGAAAAGCCGTAACTTTACACCTCAAACTTTGACAAAATGTAAAAGTTTGTTGCCATTTCTTGCGGCTTTGACACCACAGCTCCAACAATTTTACTAATCTACGATTAAGTTCTCAATTTTGCTGAATTGAGATGTATGGTAGCATTCCTTGTGAGAAATTTCAATTAAGTAGTGATGGTACATGGAGATGTCTGAACATTTGCAACTTGATGGAGTCTTCCCTCTCTGGCTTTTTCTCTTTTCTTTCTGGTTTAAAAGCAATAAATTTCAGCAATATATTCTGAAAAAGGGGAAAACAAAAAATCCAGTTTCATAAATGAATTCAACTCCTTTTCTTCTAATCTTGTGATGGAACAACACTAAATACCAAACATAACTATCTATGTTAGGTGTAACTTTGACATGAATTTGACATTCGACTAGGTGTCGAAACTGTTAAATTTCAAGCTATAGTTTGTTGATTTTGAGCATGGAATTGTTGCACAAGATACAAAAAACCATGAGAAATTCGAGGATATATATGGGTGTTCTAGCCTCTTTTGCATGGTAGGATATGCAGTGCCTTTATATATGTTAGGCTCAAGATCCTCCCAAATGAATCGACGTAATAAGTTGAGAAGAGAAAATGTTAATGCAATTTTTCTGTGTTTCTAAAAGCATCCCCTTGAGGGCAAATACAAGCGGGAATAAAATGAAGAT